GCAGTATGAAAGTTAAAATACAAATGCAGTTTTTGTTTTGAAGGCTAGTTCAGGTCGGATCCTGGATGTTTTTAAAGGAGTGACATCTGCTCAGATTGTTTTGGTTATTTTTCTTAATACCATCTGTGTGGACAGGTGGGAGCAAGAGCGTGAGCCTCTGGGGGAACAAGGAGCATTGTTGCTGAATATGTGCCCAGATGCTCAGATTCTACCCACCCGTCTCAGTGTTAGGGCCACGATGAAGGAAACCTAGGCTCCCCTTCTGCAGCGTCACCATGACCAAAGCACAGAACACTTTGGCATCAGTGGCTTCTAAGAAACTGTAGAGATGACCAGCCCTGAGAACTCTCTCATCAGACCCAGGATGACAGCCACCCCACCCAGATAGATCCTGAATCACAGTCATGTGAACATTTGTGCGTTTGTGGATTAGGCTGTCTTGTCCAGTTTTTTATTTTTATTTTTTTGCATTAATAAAAAGGCAAATTGACTTGTCCAGTTCTAGGACTTTTAAAATCTATAAATTCCTGTAGTGACCATTGTAGTCAGGATTCAGAACCACCCTGTGTCCCAGAAAAGGTCTTGTGCTAGCTCTTTCTAGTCACACCCTTCACCCACCTGGAGCCTCTGGTGACCACTGATCTCTTCCCATGACTATGGTTTTGTCTTTTCAAGAATGTCATATAAATGGAACCGTGCAGTGTGTAACCTTTTGAGACTGGCTTCTTTCACTCAGCATGATTGATGCTTTTGAGATTCATCCAAGTTGTGGTATGTATCTGTAGTTGGTCCCTTTTTATTGCTGAGCACCACTGCATTACAGGCGGGTGCCACGGTTGGTCTGTTCATCTGTCGAAGGATTATGTAGCTTGGTCTGGTTTTTGGCAATTGTGAATAAAGCTGCTACAGATACTCACCTATAAGTTTTTAGGTGAATATAAGTTTTCATTGTTCTAGTGTCAATACCTACAAATGGAATTCCTGGGTCATATGGTAAATCTGTGTTTAACAACTTTGAGGAACTATAATTTGTCTTTTTGTTCTCTCCACAGTGTCTTTCACAGAGGAAAGGGCTTTTAACTTGGATGAAGTTACAATTTCTCAACCTATTCTTTTTTGATATCATGTCTTAAGAGTTTATTGCCCTAACATGGGTCACAAAAATTTCCTTCTGTGTTTCCTTTTACAAGTTTTGTCGTGTTACCTTTGCCTTTGAGATCTGTGATGCCTTTTGAGTTAATTTATGTGTAACTTTTAAGGTTTGAGGTTCAAATTTTTTTTTTTTTTTTTTGCATGTGAATTCCAGTTCCAACACCACTTGTTGAAAATACTATCCTTTCTCTGTGGAACTGCCTTTGCACCTTGGTCAAAATCGCTGGGCTGTATTTGTGTCTTCTATTTCCAGACTCCCTGTATTGTCCCACTGATCCATGTGTCTGTCCCATGACACTCTAGAGTAGATCTTACCCGTTTTCAAAATTGTTTTGGTTCATCTGTTTTGCCATATAGCATTTAGAACCCGCTTGTCTAAATCCACAAAAAACTCATGGTGGTATTTTTATTGGAATTGAGTCAGATTTGTAGATCAGTTTGGGGAAGATTAACATCTTGACTATATTGAGTCTTTCAGTCCAGGAACATAGTATATCCCCATTAGTTTAGATTGTCTTTGATTGCTTTCACCAGCACTTTTACTTTCCAGCATGTAGATTCTGCATATGATTCGTTAGATTTATACCTAAATATTTCACTATACATAGTATTTTTTAAAAATTTCAGTTTGTAACTTTATTATCAATATAGAGATAAAATGGTTTTTTATGTATGAACCTTAAATCATACATAAATTGTTCTTTCTTTAACATATTGTTAAACTCATAGTTTTATAAATTTTTTGTAGATTTCTCACAATTTTTTACATAGACAATTATGCTGTCTATGATGGGAATAGTTTTGCTTTTTCCTTTCTGATCTATATGTCTTTTTTAAATTTTATAAACCCTGTCTTGTTCCCAATCTCAGTCTGTCACCATTAAGTATGATATGAGCTGTGGGTTTTTCATAAATGTCATTTATCAGCTGGAGGAGATTCCTTCTATTGCTGGGTTGCTGAGAGTTTTCTGTTATGGATGGATACTGAATTTTATCAAAAATATGTCTGCATCAATTGACATTTTTTTTTTTTAAAGATTATTGATTTGAGAGGAGGATGGTGAGAGGGGCAGAGGGAGAGAATCACAAGCAGAGTCCCCACTGAGTGCAGAGCCTGATGCTGGGCCCAATCCCACATCCCTGAGATCATGACCTGAGCTGAAATCAAGAGTCAGATGCTCAACCGATTGAGCCACCCAAGTGCCCCACCAGTTGACATCATTGTGTGAATTTTCTTGTTCAGACCGTTAATATGGTAGATTACTTGCATTTATTGTTTTTTTTGTACTGAACCGACCTTGTGGTTATTATTTTTAATATATTTATGAAATACAGCAATGTTTATATATCTTAATATGTTGACATTTACATATTTAAAAATAGTTTTCAGAATTTCTGCATCTAGGTTCATCAGGGACGTTGGTCTATAGTTTTCTTGTAGTATCTTTTCTAGTGATTCTGGTCTTGTAAAAAAAGAAAGGAAAGAAAGAAAGAGAAAGGAGGAGGGTGAAGGGAGGAAGGAAATAAATTATTCCCCCACTTGCTTGGGTTCAGGCCACAGGTTCTGACCTGCCTCTTTTAAACTGTGGTTCCAGTGTCAGCTCAGTTTTCAAAGTCTTTGATACAACGTTTAAGGTCAGATTCACACATAAACAGCTCAGGGATGACCCCAGAAGTTCTTTTTTTTTTTTTTTTTTTTTTAAGATTTTTATTTATTTATTTGACAGAGACACAGGGAGAGAGGGAACACAAGCAAGGGGTGTGGGAGAGGGAGAAGCAGGCTTCCCGTGGAGCAGGGAGCCCGATGTGGGGCTCGATCCCAGGACCCTGGGCTCATGACCCGAGCCGAAGGCAGACACTTAATGGCTGAGCCACCCAGGCACCCCGACCCCAGAAGTTCTTAAATAACATTTTGCACTTGCTTTGCCAGGCTCTTCATTTTCCCTGACCTCCCGAGTACTTTCTAGTTCCCTGGGGCTTTCCTTTTTGGTCATCCAGCTAAAAGCTGGGACTCGGTCACCTCACTTTGCTATGTACTTTCTGTGACTGTGCCCATATCTGGGGCCAAGCCAAGAGAAGACAGCACGTGCCCAGGGGACATGTGTCCATCACATGGGATTGACGTCTACCGAGGGAACTGTACCTATTAGTACCTTGTACAAACATTAAAAAGAACAAAGTAAAGCCAATATGTACATTCTTTATTGTCTTTTTTCAATTTTTTAATTGAAAGGAAGTGACAGAACCACTTTGGGACCCGAAAGGAAGGAATAGAGCAACTGGAGAACAATAAAACCTTGGGCTTTACCCTGTCTACTCCCTTAGTCTGGCCCTACTGGGGCCATAGCCCCGCTGATTGGAGAGCAAGGTTCCCTCCCCCAGAGCTGTAGGGGACCACCAGCCCCTGTTGCCACTGCTGTCACTACTAGGAGACCCCTTTCCCACTCCTCAAGTCGGCACTAGAGGATTGCCCTGGAGCGCTCTCTGCACCTGATACCCTCTTCCAGGTTTGGGGCTACCGAGCTCAGGCTAAGGAATACCAGAGGACAGGTGGTCAGCTCCTTCCCAGTTGAGTTGAACTTCCAATTCTGATCTTCTTCCCCAATCCACCTGCCACTGTGTACTTCTTAAAGTCTTCCAATACCTGCTCCATTCATGCTGTCCAGGGTATACGGTAGCATTCAGTGAGATGGGGTGGGGGATGTCTACCCCATCTTACCCAGAACCAGATCTTCCACTTCTATCCAGATGCTTGATACTGAAGAGCAGTGACCAAAGCCACTTAGAATTAATGAATTACCAGAAGTTACCAAAAAGTGTGGCACAATGCTGGAGAAGGAGAAATGAGAGAAAAATAATGACCCCTTACCTTTAATAATGTTGTTTGTGAAATGTTATATAATGGGAACTTTAACCTTCTTTTATACTACTTCTTATAGTCACTAAAGAATTTGAACCTACAAGAGTCATAATCCTTCTGATGACTTTTTGCCTCCTCTGCCTTCCATCATCAATTTTAACCAGAAACAAATGGAAGCAAAGGATATTTTTTAATTAGTAGGTAGATATTGCTTTTTATAAATACCATCATCATTTTTCCTCAACCAGACTTGATTCTGATATTATTTAAAGTGTTTTCATTTGGGGGCTCAGTCAGTTAAGTGTCTGACTCTTGGTTTCAGCTCAGGTCATGATCTCAGGGTTGTGAAATCAAGCGCCACATCGGGCTCCGTGCTGGGCGTGGAGTCTGCTTGGGATTCTCTCTCTTCCTCTCTCTCTGCCCCTCCCTGCCTCTCTCTCCCTCCCTAAAAAAATAAGAATGAAAAAAGTTTTCATTTCTACCTAAAATTTGAAATATAGCTTAAGTATTTAAAACAATTAAAATTATAGTATGCCCTATGTGCAAAAGCCAGTCTGAGTTCTCATATAGTCCAGACAAATTTTCTCTATTTCCTGGGAACAGGGAACTGCTCTCTAACCTTCTATCTTATGCTTTCCCCTTTCTCTCACGTCCCATCCCCCTTTCTTGCCTAGAATGGGCATCATGTATGAGATCCAGAAAATTTAGGGCAAGATTTTTAAATTCCTTCTGAAACAGGAGATTAAAGGAGAGAGAGAGAGAGAGAGAGACCATTTTAGAATAAATGAATGTGAATTTAGACCCTACCTGGGACTTTTCTTCCCTATAGTATTTGTTTTACAGTGGTGCATGCCTATGTATGATATGAACACTGACAACAGAATTTCTCTACTACCTGGTTGGAAGAGTACAGTATGATTTTGGAAACATCAAAGGGCTGGGATAGGGTCTGTCACTAAGAATATACTACATTGTTCCACCTTTCCAGAAAATTCTAACCATGATTCCCACCGAAGAAGAGAAGCAGAAGATCCAGGAGGCGCAGCTGGCCAACCCTGACGTGCCACTGGGCAGTGCTGAGCAGTTCCTCCTCACGCTCTCCTCCATCAGCGAGCTCTCGGCTCGGCTCCACCTCTGGGCATTCAAAATGGATTATGAAACAACAGAAAAGGTACACCCTTAAGAAGGGAGTTAGCCAGCCCTCACCCCCAGTGTTGAGAAAGTCAGTTTTGTATTGGTGGAGGTAGTGAGGTATCATTCTTGAGTGAGGGTTTGAAGGGCAGGTTGATTATGATGAGGTTGTGTCTACACTGAGTGATCAGCGGCCTGGCAGTGAGGCATTTTTCTCCAGTGGCGGCCTGGAGAAAGCATCAGATGCTTGCTTCAGGGTACCAGATGACTGGTTAAAAAAATTTTTTTTTAATTTTCTATGTAAACTCATTGTAAAAATTTGGAAAACGTAGAAATGCACAATATAGAAAGTGACTTATAATCCTTCCACCTGGTGACAGTCACCTAAACTGCCATTGTCCGTGGCCGTTAGCCTGGCAGAGTCACTTTGAGAATCTCTATAGGAAGCTGAGGATGAACTACTCTGAGAGGTTGAGAGGAGAATAGAAGGAAAGGGACCTTAACAGTGAAGTCATGGGAGGATTCATCTGAGCAAGAAGTGGAAGGAGCAGGTGTCTTCTGGGCTGGGGAAATGGGAGTATTTTTACAGGCTGAGCAGAAGGAACCAGCAGAGAGGAAGAAAGATGGAAGGTGAGCTGGGATGAGCTTAACTGAGAGGAAGTGCCCGAAGGAGACCGATTCAGAGCATAGGAGAGCCTGTAAGGTCTCCATCCTCCGGCAAAGGAGGCAGCAGGGTTTTATCCTGAGGACCAGATAGGTGGCAGTGGGTGTAGGGGCATCAGGAGGGAACCATGGTATTTGAATTCATTCAGAAATCAAGTGAGAATGAAGAGATATAGGACTGCTGAGGTGACCTGGCGTGGCGTAGTCTCAAAACCAGTGTGGAAGCCTGAGAGAGTGGGAGTTACAAAGGCAGTGGCAATAATGAGGATGGCGGTCTTCTAGAAAGTAAGCAGGGCTAAGAGGTGGCCAGCCCCAGAGTGCCCAGAGGGGAGGTCAGGAAGCCTGAGGGGTCCAGGGACAGTGAGGGACGGTTTCTGGAGTCATCTGCCTAGAAGGAGAAAGAGAAGAGGAAGACCATGGTCCAGATGCAGAAGGTACATGCAAAGGAAGTAGAGAGAGGGGAGGGTGGTCTAAGGGTCCTGCCCGAGCTTGGCAGATGGGCAGGAACAGGGGGAGAACAGGGTCAGGGAGAACAGGGAGAACAGGAACAGGGTCAGCCCAGCACAGAGAGCCACACATACCCATTTGGTCTCCACTGAGGAGACTTTGAGGACTAGACTTCTCCGCTGCCTTTTGGCACTTTTCCATACTTAGCAGCATGGACCCATCACATGGGACTGCCTTGTACCAAGGGGAACTCCACTTGGTTACCTTGTACAAAAGTTAAAAAGAACAAAGTAAAGCCAAAATGTGCATTCTTTATCATCACCTTGCAACTTTTTTTAATTGAAAGGAAGTGGCAGAACCACTTTTGGATCTGAAGGAAGGAATAGACCAACTGGAGAACAATAAAACCTTGGGCTTTATCCTGTCTACTCTCTTAGCCATTGGGAACTTTCTAAATGGAACTAATGTAAGTGTTTTATATCCCTTATTCTCCTGCCTCCCTTGTCACAAAATCCCTGCCCTTCATTTGCTGAGGGAGGTTGTACCTCTGGTCCTCCAAAGCACAAATGAAGCAACTTTTGTTGCTGGAAAATCTAGAAGGAATTTTGTCCTTATCAGGGTCTATTTATTTGAGTCTGTATCTTGCTATTAAATAAGAAAATTTAGAAAAATAAGCACCCTGTTCCTTACGTAGCTTGGCTACTTTCAAAACTGACATTGGAGAGAATTTCTCCCACCTCCCTCCCCCATTTTTTCCTGAACTTATCGCTCAAATATTTGTACTTATGCACATTATAAACCAACTTAAAAAAAAAAATTGGCCTGTCTTTGGTCAAGAAGTAGGAAAGTAGAGGGCAAAGAGAGAAAGAAGTTGTAGATACCCAGATGGCAGAAAGCCAGCCCCACAGCTCCCTGATTTAGGGGTAGAGGCCTGGGACAGCTTGTGGCTGATGGCTGTGGTGGAAAAGGGCTGGAGGCTCATTTCATGCTCAGTTGTAGCTGGTCCATATGTGATCGGCTAAGGGTGATGGAACATGTGGCCTGAGAAGCTCTAGTCACAGAGGAACTAAATATTAGGCTACCCCAACAGGGCATTGATTCTAGCCCTTTGTGCCTTTCTGAGAGCCTGTGTAAAACTTATTTTTGTCTTTTATTTAATGTTCACCAAACAGGCCAAAGCGTTTGAGTTAAGCTACCTCGAGAAGGTTCCAGAAGTCAAAGACACCGTGCACAAGCAGTCGCTTCTCCACCACGTGTGCACCATGGTGGTGGAAAACTTCCCAGACAGCTCTGATCTGTACTCCGAGATCGGGGCCGTCACCAGGTCAGCCAAGGTACGTCCACGGGCGCAGAGGAGTGGGTCATGCCTTTCCCTCAGATGTTGGATCTTTGTCAGTCAGCTCTGAGGAACATAGGCTCCATTAAGTAAAAACGTCCAAGTGCTGCTTGCATCCCTTGCTCTAGATTTTGTGGATATGACTTGTCTGATGCCGTTTCTAATGAGCTTTTAAGATCCTTTTCCCATCTCTGGTTCTCCGTCAGATTCTTTCCTACTGAGCTATGTGAGGCAGGTCCGCCGTCCCGGTCCTAAGCCCTGCATCCGCTGTGGAGCAGCGTTACTCACCAGGCCTGGAGTCTCCCGAGCATGAAAAGTTCTCCACTTGCCTTGGGTGGGCAAAAATATCACAACGATGCAATTTGGCTCCTCCTCAGACTTCCACAGGACCCTGCAGTGAGGCGTGGAGCCAGGAAAGAGAGGGCACCTGGCCTTCTGCTCCCCCACGGATTGGCTGGCTATTCCTACGATCTTACACAGAGGGAACAGTTTTATAGGGCTATAAACAATATATAGCTTTGGCCTCTCGGCTGCAAACTCTTAAATTGAGTGCACACTTAAGATCTTCATGAACTTGTGGTTTATTAGAAAAGAGACCGTTGCAATAGCTGGACTCCCAGCTGCCCCCACTTGCAGGAGCATCACTGAGGCTGAAAAACCCCCGAGGAATCCCCAACTCAGCACAGCTGGACGATGTGAGGGTCTCGGGAGCAACAGGAAACGCATGGGGAAGGGCTGAATAGGGCAACAGGAGTCAGGCTAGTGTGTGGGAAACTTCTGGAAACCCAGCCTGGGCAGGCTGAGGAGCTGAAAGCAGACGACCTTTAGTTCTGGGACACTCTGGACCCTAGTATAAGAAGAGGAGAGAGAGTGGTGGGCAGTGGAGAAGGGGCCCCCTGAAGTCTCCTTCATGGAACTCTCTCTCGCCACCTTCTCCCACAGAACTGGCTTGTGGGGCCCCAGGGGCTGGGACCCTCCTTCACCCACCTCAGGAGCAACAGGCCGGCAGCTGCCAAGTACAGCAAGCAGGGGGCCCTGGGCCGGCCTGACAGTGGGCCTGCCTCATGGCAGAAGGAGGCATGGCCAGCAATCCCCCAGCTCCAACAGCTGACCGCAGGCTTCTGAAAACACAGACTCCTTTACTTCACAGGCACCCTTCCTGTGTTTACTCCGTGCCAGGCCCTGTTCTGAAGTCTTTATGAGTATCACATCAGTATCCTGACCAAGACCAAAAGCCCTTCTGCGTGTGGCAGCTGGGGGTCCTCCAATAGCTGCTCTGACACCCGCCGTGAGCACCTTCTCAGAAGGCAGTTTGTTAGGAATACCTCTATCTGAGACAGAGTCTGCTACGTATCTGCAGTCATATTTGTCCTGTTTCCAGACCCACACAGAACAAATCAGTTCCTTAGTTGTATGTGGTCCTTCGTTCTTTCCTAGGGCCGCCTTCTAGGTGGAGCCTGCTTAGAACAAAAGCAGCCTGGCCTAGGAGTCCTGACACCAGCCTGGCCCCCAGTGACTGCCCCAGCGCCCCCCAACCCTGCCCCAGTATCAGGCCTTTCCCAAAGGGTGTTCAGTTTTTAGTTAAGTAATAACAAAATAACTTTTCCTTATGCAAAGATTGGCTACACAAGCCAAAAGTGCAGGTCGATTTTACCTATTAACGGTGGTAGTTGCTGATGATGACTGTTGACCCAGCTCTCTGTGACTTGCAAGAGGGCATCTACCACTTCTCAGTCTTTACTCCCAAAGCCTTTTGGGGGTATTGAGGGGTCCTTCTGTGTAGACAGGCACAAAATAAGCCTCAGGAAACCTCAGCCCTACTTGCATTCGCTCCATCCCCTGGTGTGTCTCCTGTGGGGCCTCAGCACTGCGGCCCCCAAGGGGCAGGCTGCTCTGGCATCTGCAGGGTAGCTGCGTCCCTGAGCTGTCCCACAGCATCCCAGGCTGACTTGGTAAGTTTTGACTGCTTCAGAGCACAGCTCATGGGGGCTTCCTACACACGAAAGTGGCCCGTGTGGATCAGTCCTCAGGAGAGGTCTTCCTGGCAAGCACTTCCTTCTCAAAGGCGGCGGCCAGGCCAGCGCTGTCTCTGGGGTGGAATTTTTTAGGGGCAAATCTAGGCTTACAGCATGCTGGTTGAGAACTTAGACTCTGGAGCCAGAGAGATTTGGGTTCAGATCCCAGTTCCACTACTTAGAGCTGTGTGGTCTCTCACAAGCTACTTCACCTCTCCTGTGCATCCGCTTGTCCCCTCCCAAGTGGAGCTAGTAACAGAACCTGAGGTCAGGGGATAATTGTGAAGACTCAGGTGGCCTGGGCCTGTGGCCTCTGGCCGGGCAGGCAGCCGGATGACGCAGCCTTCCAACCCCCTCCAGAGAAGCTACATTAAGCTCAACCCTCAAATCGCACTTCATCAAGAGCTTCCCCACCTGGCTTCAGTTGGCAGTCGGCTACTTTCTCCTGCCCCCACCTTAAGGGCTCACGGTGGACTCTCTTCCCCGGAAAACCATCTCTTACTCGGCGTCCGCCGCCGTGCTGTGCAAGCGTCGCCGAGTTAGACTGCGCGGGGCTGCTTGGGGCCTGAGCGGAACGGAGGTTATTTTATTGTGTATCAGGGAGCTGCCAGATGCAAATGAGGACAGATCCAGGGAGTTAGGATTAGACATATTACAACTGGCTTAAAATCTCCTAGACATAGTACTTGTCAGTCCCAGGTCAGCCGGATCCTTTTCTAGACTTACTCTTTGAACTGTTTAGTGCTTTTCTAACTCTACTTTTTTTTCCTTCTTGGCTGAACACCTGATTTTTTTTCTCAGCTCCACTGTATCCTAGGAAAGTGAAGCTTTTTCTGCTCTGGACCCAGAATTCCTTTGGTTTCAGGCAAATTATTTTTCCCAAAGTCCCACGAACCCCCTGCTTACCTGAATCCCAGGGGTCCGCCTAAACTTGCCTTCTGTTTTTGGCTCTTCAGCACCCAAGAAACCCAGGACTTGCCCTGTCTTGCCTGGCCCCCAGGGCATCCGTTGTGCTCAGCTTGGCTTCATCCCGTCTGGTGATAGATCTTCTGACCTTCCTTGACTTGATCCCCTCCATTGTCTCGTGGAGGGCGGGACCACTCCAGCAAACGCCCTGGGCACTCCCATTCAGGCTCACATCCCTTGACCTCTGTCATCTAAGCAAGGCGCCTCACCTCCATGCATCTGCTTTCTCCCTCTGACCTTGATTTGCCCAGCGTTCGCCTTCTCCTGCCAACTCCTGCTCTGCATCTACTTTTGTGCCCTCAGTCTCCTCCCTAAAGCTCACCTATTTATCTGTTTCTGCCTCCCTCCCCCCCACCCGCTTTCTCAGTTTCTTTCCCCTGTTCCACAGCCCTGACGAACTCTTTGATTCACATAATTTCTAATCTAGAAATTCAGTAAAAGCATCACTTTAGAAAGCCTCATTTCAGGCTACCTCAGTTAATCCAGACTTTTTCCACTTCCCTGAAGAGCACAGTGGGAGCTGTTCACATCTGTTCTTTGCACACATGGCTTGCATCTGCCAGCAAGACCTCTCTCTCTCTCTCTCTCACACACACACACACACGCGCGTGTGCGCGTGCACACGCATGCCTGTGGGTTCTGTACATCCTCAGTGTTTGGTCTGTACACCTGTCTATACAATGAGCCTCCTTGAGAACAGCAACTTAGTCTCATTCAACATCTGTCTTTGCATTCTCGGTGCCTGGTATAGGACCTGACATCCACCAGTTTCTCCCTGGGTGTGGGTCGAATGAATGAATGGGTGGAGAAATAAAATTTGTCACACAGTGTAAAAGAGATCACTGTGAAGAGACGCCATCCGCCACTGAGCCGGCCCCACCGTATTAGAACCATCCCTGTATGACGGGTGTTTTCCTGTAACCCTAAGTGAAAAATCATCTCTGAAGAACAAGAGTGCTCTGAAAAATTTTATGAGACATCTGCTCAGTTCATCTTGTACTGGTTCCTTGATATCATGTTTTAATTTACAGTTCCCAAAGACTTCCCTAAGATTTCTTTCCAAATTGGGGGTGGGTGAGTGATACTTTCATTGGGTTCATTGGGGGGAATAGCTTTATCACTAAATAATTTGATGTCAAGATAATGACAAATACACATGTGGATGATTTTTAAGCCATAAATATGTTTATATTTCAAGATGTCAATTTGGTTTTGATGATTGTTTCTCCCGGAGGCAGTTGAGTTTCCTGGTTCAGATTGGCGTCCGCTTGTTTCAGTGCATTTGCCATCATTCTCCCTCTGATTTTCAGGTTGACTTTGATCAACTTCAGGATAATTTATGTCAGATGGAGAGAAGATGCAAAGCTTCATGGGATCACCTCAAGGCAATTGCAAAACATGAAATGAAACCAGTTTTAAAACAGCGAATGTCAGAGTTCCTAAAAGACTGTGCAGAGCGAATTATAATTTTAAAGATTGTCCATCGAAGAATAATGAACAGGTAAGTGGAGGAAGGAACTAAGGGCAACACCTCTACAGTGGCAAGTTGGAAATAGTCCACAGGCCAAGATCTGAAGGTTAAGTTTACAAAAGTTGTAAGTTCCGGGTACATAGAAAGTACACCTTTGCACTTGTTTGTTTCATGGGTATTTTTCTTACACACACCCCCCAGTAATATAATGCCATTGAATTTTGAGGTTGGAAGGAATCTCTGAGATAATGTGATCCAAAATCCCATTGGATCGGGAATTGCCTCGCTCAGCTCTCTGACAAGTTGTATCTCTGCATCTGCTTGAACAGTTCTGCATGCATACGGCACATGTCCTTGCGAGGCAGCTTGACTTGTTAGAAAAGCTCCTTTCTATAATCTACAGTGTTCCCTCCAGGACCTTCCACTTGCTGATTCTCCGAGGCTGCTGTGCAGCAGCCTGCCTAAATGAGGCCTGGGCCCCCCACGGCTGCCACCCTCTGGACCAGCCGCCCTTAGAGTCCTGGGATCCAAGAGGACCCTGGGAGACATGCAGGGCTGGATGAGGCCTTGCTTGCCGGCAGGGAGGCTAGCTGGGGTCTAGGAGCTGGCTGGGGTCTGCTCCGTAGCAGTCCCGGGCTGGCTTACCTGTAAGCAGTGGCCGCACCAAGACCAGAACCTGGGTCTTCTGACTTCCTGGGCCAGGCCGTTTCTACCACCAGAGTATCTTTGTGGTATCACAGAGTACGGTTGTAGGTACCCCGGCCTGGCCTTTGGGGTTCGAATGCTCTGTTCTGGGCCTTACTGAGTAGATGTGCAGGTCTCCAGACCTGCAGGCTGTGGTCCACCTGGAGCAGGTGCTCTAATGACGGGACTTCTGAAACAGGCCTCATCGAGGTTCTGTGAAGGGAGCCCTCCCCTTGGGGCCTTTCCCAGAGACCTGCCCCTCTCAGGTACATTCCCAGGCCAGTGTCTGAGCACTTGATTATTTTTTTAAACAGAGGGGCGGTATTTTCATTTATCCCTGTCTGTTTTGTATTTTTTTTATTAACTTTTTATCTCTCCCCTTCCCTCCCACCCTCCTTTAACCTTCTTTTCTCTTTCCTTCCTTCACCCTCCTTGAACCCCCCAGCACTTTAATAACCTAATTGTCTTGTCTGCCTCTGAGCTTTTACCCACCTTGTGCCATTTGCTGTTTTAGTAACTGTATACCTCCTGGGTCTTGATCCACTGTTGTAGGGCAGAGAAAGCGGTGGTAGTCTTTAAATGTTAGCCAGGACAAGAATAAGGAACAGAATCTTCCCTCCAGGTTGACGACTGCCCATTACTCAGTACTTCTGGAATTCAGTCGTAAACCCCTCTCACTGCACTCCACCTTGACCTCACAGGGCCCTGTGGAATGGAGGGACTTATCAGAGATTTGGTTAGATTTCTTAGTGAAATCAAAGTACACTATGCTTTTAACATGTTTAAAAAGTAGAGGCAGGGAATGTGAGCTGCTTTGGCCCTCTGTGCTTCGTATGATACGAGCAATTTCCAACTTAAAATTGCTCAAATAAACAAATAGTTTCCACTTGGAATGTCCTGAAACTGGAGCAATTTTCTGAAAGTCTTGTAAAGCTGTTAGGCCTGATCACATTAGCCATTTTATCCCAGACAGGTAAAAACTCATTTTGGTGATACAGCTATTCCTTAAGCTATAGGCTCGTGTGTGTGTGTGTGTGTGTGTGTGTGTGTGTGTGTATGTATGTATAAGATGCATATAATGTTTGCTCTGATTGTCCTATTCTCCCTGGTAAGCTGGTCACCCAAATGATGGTTGCTCTTGCATGACCGAGATCCCTGTCTACTCACTGGTGCCTGTCCCACTGGGGATGACCAGCATGAGCTAGGAATCATGGGCAGTAAAAGGGCCATGGCTAAAGCGTGGGTCCAGGTGGTGGCCAAGCCAAAGCACCTAAACCATAGAACCCTGGCTTCAAATGAAGTTGGTAGCAAGAACGCGATATGTAGAAGTGATGGAAGTAGGAATATCTTGTTGAAATGGCCATGGGGGCCTGAGAGCCCCAGAGGCTCTGCTTCCTCTTTCCCTCCCCAACTACCAACAGTTCCTGGGAGCATCGCCTGTGACTGCTCTGATCTAACACGTTCCCCTTACACATTGGGCAACTGAGACCCAGAGAGGAGTAAAACCCTAGTTGAGGTGGGTACAGGTAGAATCCTTTGGGGCATGCAGACCAGCCTAAATAGAAGACTTCACATCAGAAAGCTGGAAATAGCTAGGCCTTCATCTTTTTTCCTCACCTGCAAGTGTAAGAGTTATATTTTTATCTGTGTAATTAGAAATCCATTTAATAGGGCACTTTTTTAAAAAAAATTTTTTATTGTTATGTTAATCCCCATACATTACATCATTAGTTTTAGATGTAGTGTTCCATGATTCATTGTTTGTGCATAACACCCAGTGCTCCATGCAGAACGTGCCCTCCTCAGTACCCATCACCAGGCTAACCCATCCTCCCACCCCCCTCCCCTCTAGAACCCTCAGTTTGTTTTTCAGAGTCCATCGTCTCTCATGGTTCGTCTCCCCCTCCGATTTCCCCCCCTACTATCTTCTTCTTTTTTTTTTCTTAACATATATTGCATTATTTGTTTCAGAGGTACAGATCTGAGATTCAACAGTCTTGCACAATTCACAGCGCTTACCAGAGCACATACCCTCCCCAGTGTCTATCACCCAGTCACCCCATCCCTCCCGCCCCACCCCCCACTCCAGCAACCCTCAGTTTGTTTCCTGAGATTAAGAATTCCTCATATCAGTGAGGTCATATGATACATGTCTTTCTCTCATTGACTTATTTTGCTCAGCATAATACCCTCCAGTTCCATCCACGTCGTTGCAAATGGCAAGATTTCATTCCTTTTGATGGCTGCATAATATTCCATTGTATATATATACCACATCTTCTTTATCCATTCATCTGTCGATGGACATCTTGGCTCTTTCCACAGTTTGGCTATTGTGGACATTGCTGCTATAAACATCGGGGTGCACGTACCCTTTCGGATCCCTACTTTTGTATCTTTGGGGTAAATACCCAGTAGTGCAATTGCTGGGTCATATGGTAGCTCTATTTTCAACTTTTTGAGGAACCTCCATAGTGTTTTCCAGAGTGGCTGCACCAGCTTGCATTCCCACCAACAGTGGAGGAGGGTTCCCCTTTCTCCGCATCCCCGCCAACATCTGTCATTTCCTGACTTGTTAATTTTAGCCATTCTGACGGGTGTGAGGTGGTATCTCATTGAGGTTTTGATTGGGATTTCAATAGGGCACTTTTTGAAAGAAGCAGTTGTCCCGCAGACACTGCTCTAAGGTTCTCAGCGTGTGAAGGTTATCTGGCTTCTGGGGACGAACTCAAACCTTCACAGGTAGCAGAGTTGCAGATCTGTTCTCATGACACTCACACGTGCAGAGAGCATAACTTTTGCTTGCTTCACTGTTCAGTCCAGCTGCTTCATGACTCACTGCCTGGTGGGGTAGCAGTCTGCTGACCTAGCCGATAATGTAAACAGCTAAACTCTGAGTCTCCTGAATGTGTGATCTTCAAGAGTTCGACTCGTCCCTGCTACCCCTCTCTAAGTTGGCCTTGGGGAAGAACAGTGATTTCTAGAGCTCAGTGGTGAAGAAGGGGACAGGTTCCTGGATGGAGCCATCTGGAACCTCACAAGCCTCCCATGTGGACAGGCCGGGCTGGCCTCTGCTGGCACCCCCTGCTGTGATGGGCAGCTGAAGGGACAAGTGGTCAGGTCTCCCCTCTCCCTGCTCCACTCATCCACTCAGACCCTTAGGCTCTCTGCTCACACCCTCAGTGTTCCCTAGGGTCCACTATATACCACGCAGGATCCTGTGAGGCCTGATGAGTCTGGCCAGACCCTCCTGCTTCCTCATCTTACCACGCTGCTCTTTGCACTCTGCCAGGGGTGCTCTGTTTGGGCCTGGAACCCTCTGTCTTGCACAGGGACCCCCTGGTGGGACAGAAATCCTTCTTGGCCTCAGCACCCTTAGCCTCTCAACAGACCTCTCTCCACTCCAGGGCCTCATTGGAGAGAGATGAGAACCCACATCTAGCTACCCACCTTCCTGTCTGGCCCTCCCTTAGTTATTCCACTGGGTCTCCACTTGGTAAAGGGGCAGATAAAAGAACTTAGACAATCCTCTTTAGGTAAAACTCAGCTTTCAAAACCGTTGCATGACTAAGAACATCTCGTTCTGCATGCCTGAGCATGCATATTCCCCTTTCCTTTCATGCTGCGCCACCGCCCCCAGCGGCCTCGTCCCACTCCGTGGCTGAACAGGCATGCTCACTCGCTCCCGGAGACTCGTTGGGCTGTTACGCACAGGGTGGTGGGCACTGGCACGCAGGGGCCGGTGCCGGAAGGCCTCCGGAGAACTCCGCAAGGGGCTGGCACTCCAGGGGGAGAGATGGGGAGACAGGTGACACCCACACTGGCTTCCTGGTACCCCAAATTCCACCCCTCCCCTTCTTGGGCCGGATCCCATAATCATTGGCACACTTGAGGAAAAGGGTGGATGATGGAACAGAGCAAAGAGACTGATTGATTGTCCCCTGGATTTTTCTTGCATACGCTATCCTGTGCTAACACATCATAGATCACAGATGCTATATCCACTCTGTAATGTCCGGTAGTAACTTTTTAGGAACTGCCAGACTTTTCCATAGCAGCCGAACCATGTTATGTTCCTACCTGCTGCTGTATAAGGGCTCTAATTTCTCCCCATCCTCACCAACACTTGTCACTGTCTGTGGTTTTGATTTGCATTCCCCTAATGACTAGTGATATGAAGCAAATTTTCATGCACTTATTGGCTATTTGTGTATCTTTTTTGGAGAAATGTCTATTCACATCCTTTGTCCATATTTCCTTTGTCTTTTCAGTGTCGGGTTGCAAGATTTCTTTGTATATTCTGGATACAAATCTCTTATCAGATGTATGATTTGCAAATTCTCTCCCATTCCATGAGTTGTTTTTTCACTCTTGATGGTGGTCTTTGGAAACACCAAAGTGTTGAATTTTGATCAAGTCGAGTTTATCTATTTTTTTCTTTGGTTGCTGATGGTTTTGGTGTCACATGTAAGAAGGAAATCATTGACTAATCCAAAGTCATGAAAACTTACAGTCTGTGTTCCTCTAAGAGCTTTATAGTTCTAGCTAAATTTTCTGACTTTAAACAGCACTTTTTTTCGGCCCCTTTATTTACAAGTTGTATCTGTTACTTTATTATTCTTCACACAAAGAATAAGCCCATTTCCCTCACTTGAAAAAAAAAAAAAAAACGAAACCCCTATTCAAACTGTACATATTAGACGATCAAAGACAAAAATAGTTGTCCACAAATAGTGGGATCATTTATAGAAGACTGTTTGGTCTACATACAAATGTCCCTCTGTCTCCTAATATCTTCTTTCTCATTTCCTGATAACTGAAAATGGTGTACATGTTTGCTTATTTAATTTCCTTTACAAAATGTTTAAGTCCATAAAATCCAATAATTTTTAATTTATAAAGTTAAATAGCTGAAATTTATTTTGTGCTGCTGTGTGGTGTTTCCTAATAAAATTAAGATTGTATGTGGGGCGCCTGGGTGGCTCAGTCAGTTAAGCATCTGACTCTTGATTTTAGCTCAGGTCATGATCTCAGAGTCATGAGACTGAGCCCCATGTTGAGCTCCACACCAGGCATGGAGCCTGCGTAGGATTCTCTCTCTCCCTTTCCCTCTGCCCCTCCTCCCTCCCCCCACTCATTTGTGCACACTCTCAAAAAAAAAAATTGTATGTAATATGAAAAAATATTTCAGAATATTTACTCACAGAAAACTTAATCAGCATTTTTACAAACCATCAGTTAATAATTCATATGATTGTGTTTATTCCAATAGTCATTAAAGCATGTTCTCAAGGAATTGCTAAGCTATATTTCTGTATTCCGTATTCATTTCTTACATAACCTAGAAACTTGTGCAGTATTTTCTTTAAAATAGTGCTTTATCCTTTTTCTTACAAAAGCTTTGCGCATACATTTTAGAAAAACATTAAAACACTTATAAGCAAAAAGAAAACAGTAACTAATCTCCTAAAATCCTACCACCTAGACATCTTCCATCAGTGAGAAAGTGAGTTGAACTTGACTTCTGGTTGAATTTTTCACTCAAGAAGACTCTACAACCCCAGAGCCCCAGGAATGAAGAACAATGCTTGCCGGATTGGTTTCGTGCTGAAAGTTTTTAGACAGTTGGTTTTTGTTCCTTAGAGCCAAAGTCATCACCACTATTGGGTTTTTCATTGCAGGTTCCATTCCTTTTTGCTCTTTATGGGTCACCCGCCTTATGCAATTCGGGAAGTGAACATAAACAAGTTCTGCAGGATCATTAGTGAATTTGCACTGGAGTATCGCACCACCAGGGAAAGGGTTTTGCAGCAGAAACAGAAACGGGCCAACCACAGAGAGAGAAATAAGACCAGAGGGAAGATGATCACCGACGTAAGTTCCATGAACTCCATCTCTTTCTGTCATTTATGGTGAAAGTAGATCGACTCCCACAGTTTAGGGACTGTGCTTTTTTTTTTTTTTGACTGTGGAAAAAAATGCCATCTTTTTATTTTTTATTTTATTTTAATTTTATTATGTTATGTTAGTCACCATACAATACATCATTGGTTTTTGATGTGGTGATCCACGATCCATTGTTTGCATATAACACCCAGTGCTCCATGCA